TATAATTACCCTCCAATAGCACCCCTGGTGAGTCATTCCTGTTACCCCATCGCTCAGCCAAATTTTTCCATGATAGCATCTTCACATCACCTGGCCCTCAAACCAAATTTGTCCTGATGTGAAGGACATGTCACCTGGATCCAAGGGATTAAAACAAAAATTAATACATATACATTATGTATGTGCCTCCACACTATACATACCTGCCAACTGACTATAAAAGTCAGTGAAGCACCCCCAGGACATACGGTAGAATCACAGCAGACACACCAGTAGTGAGCCTCCTCACTTTTTGCTCTGCAACAGTGCTGATAGTGCTTCCTTGGATTGAGAGCAAGTATGTGGCCCTTAGGTAGAGGGCACCTCTGATTCCTGTGAGAAGGCAACAGGCTGGCAGACATTTGGAGAGTCATTATTCGCTCCTGTGGTGACACCAGGAGCTTGGCAATAAGCTGCAGCCTGAAGTCTAGTTGTCGTTATACCACCAAGCACCCAGTGATGTACAATTAATGACTTGCATATCTAAAAAGTTATGAAACACCTTGTGGTATGCCTTGTTTGATTTTCTTTGAACCAGGTGCAAATAGGCTAGCTGATTATGCCATTGTTGTAATTGACAACTGCAGGCTTGATGCCGAGTTCCCCATGGCAGTTGGGCAGTAACTCATCCATATCGCTGCAGTGGCTTATTGACAAGTTAACTTGTTTTTTTGTCCATCCATAACAATGACTGCATTTCCCCATCTCAACTAAGGGTAGCAGAAGAAAGGGGACAATGAGAACTAATTGTTAAGGTATAGTTTGTACCCCTTCTCAAAAAAGGACATGCTTGCCACTAGGTTGATGACAGCCTACAACAACGTTTATACCTCTCTAGTATCCTGCTTCATGTACACTTTGCAGGTACTTGTGTATCCTGCAGACACCACCTCACATTCATGTCATGCCTTGCCCTCTTTGGTCATGTTATATTGCACAGCATGATGGTGGCCCAAAATGCCTAAAGACTTAGCAACTGTTACATTTTGGCCAGAAATGAAGACTAACTTGAACAGCATACCCAGGATGTTGAGAACAGGACATAGCTTCCACAATTTGTAAAAAGTTGGCTGGACTGGTTGGTCAAACACAGGTCTAGCAGTAGTGTGGAAAAAGTTGGTGTCCCAGTTTTTATATACATTCAATCAATTAGGTCAGTCTACATCATCCAACTAGTATCCAAGGAGGTCAATCCAGTTGAAACATATTGACAATTATCTGACACCTCATACAACCTACCTTCTAGCCCCTTAATCTCTTCCCTCAACCCCATCATGATTGCCCCCCTACTCCCCATCCCTCCATAATAATCCTCTACCCTCCCCTTCAGCCCTCACAGTACCTTCTCAACAAGATGATTAGGAAGTGGGTAAATGCTGACACCACCTAGTGTGTGGTCTATCACATTGCAGTCAGTGTATGCCAACACCCTCAGTATCAAAGTGTGCTGTTGGCTTATGCTGATGCTCAAAATATTTGGAGTAATACATTTTCAGTTATAAACATGTAGATGCCCATATATTATATGAATTTGTTCAGTAAGATTTCAAATTGATGCAGAAATATAATTGGATTCATTCCCTATTTTTTTATCAGACTCATAGTACTTGTATACCATAGTCTTTTAACCTTGAATGAATATAATTTCCTTTGACAGGATCCAAACCTAGAAGATACCATGGTTGTACAGTTCATTCTTGGTATGCGGATGGGCACAAGAGAAATTGAAAGTGACACTGAGGATGAAAAAGAAAAGGAGGAAGGTTTGTGTTACTTTGTCATTACAGTTTTTAAGCTTATAGAGATAGATATCTGTGTATTTGTACTGGATTTTGCACACACTGTATTGGCAGTCACTCTATTTTATATGTCCTTATTGCAGAGGAAAAACAAGAGGGTGATGAGAAAGAGAAGGATGGGGAAGAGGGGGAGGAGAAGAAGAAGAAGGAGAAGAAGCCCAAAGGTCCACCAAAGAAGATTGAGGTTGAAGAATTCTTCGTGAAATATCGGTCCTTCTCTTACTTGCACTGTGAGTGGCGCACAGAAGAAGAACTCTTCAAAGGGGACAAGCGCATTAATGGTAAAATTAAACGCTACAAGCAGAAGAGAGCCATGAGCCAGAATGTTATGGACTTTGTAAGTATTATTTTATTTACCACATTATTTGCTTATTTACACCTGTATAAGGAATGAATAGAGAATTTATGTATAACCTTTGATTATCCATCATCTCTTGTGATCATTAATATTTCCAAATGTAATTGTTTATTCAAGGTTTTTTCTTATATAAATCTTTAAAAAATACTTAAGAATCTGCTTGTCATAGAAAGAATGTATCTATGCTTTGGTGTTGCTCTGTTCATGTGCAAATTTAGGGATTTGCCTTGATGAATCATTTACTAATATGTATGAGGCTTTACCTGGTAGATGTTGTGTATTATATATAATAGTAATGGAATATTTTCTTTTCAGTTGGAAGAAGAGGCTTTTAACCCAGATTATACAGAAGTGGACAGAATCTTAGATGTAACCACCACAAATGACCCAACCACAGGAAAGGAAATCAAGCATTATTTGATCAAGTGGAAGGCTCTTCCTTATGAAGATTCCACTTGGGAATTAGAAGATGAAGTTGACACCCTGAAAGTAAGACGTGTTCTCTTGTTGCCCAATATCAAGGCTGTGATGGAAATGTCATGTTGTAAGATCTTATGAAGAGTTTTGTTATTAGTTGTATTATTCATTAGGATTTAGGATATATTCAGGAGAGTAGGAAGACAACTTACTTTAGGAAATTATTATTATCACTGTTGCCATGCATTGATGCAAACCATGAGATTTAGTGTTAATTGACTCGTCTTTTCAGATCAAAGCTTTCTTGTCGTATAAAGACCCTCCTCCAAAGGGTGATTGGAAAATTAAGAAGCGACCAAAGCCAAGTGAGTGGAAGAAATTGGAAGAATCCCCTCTCTACAAAAATAATAATTCACTTCGGGAGTATCAGCTTGAAGGCCTTAACTGGCTGAACTTCTCTTACTACAACTCGTAAGTTTTTCTCGTGTTATTTGAGTTCTTAGTGTTTAGTGGTTATTATTGATTATAAATATTTAATTTTTCAGGAGATGATACAAAAATATGATTTTCCTTTGTAATTCACAGACATAATTGCATCCTGGCTGATGAGATGGGTCTGGGAAAGACTATCCAGTCACTGTCGTTTATTGACGCATGCTACAAATATGGGATACGTGGACCGTACCTGATTATTGCACCTCTTTCCACAATCCCAAATTGGCAGCGAGAGTTTGAAAGTTGGACCGATCTCAATATCATTGTTTACCATGGATCGTAAGTTGATCAAGAATTTTTTCATCATTACCAGATTAAGCAAAAAATAAATAAATAAAACTATTTAGATGCTCTATATTCTTTAGAGAAATAGTTTTTAAACTAATATTTTGACTAGTTTTCATGTATATTTTCAAATTCAGAACTTCTGTTTGGCCAATAAAGTATTTCACATTCAATGAGCCTTGTGTGAAAGTAAAACTCTTGTAAGGCAATTTTTATATGAAGATTCTTGTGCATTCAAGCTGGATAATTATTGATTTTTGTGTTACAGGCAAGCAAGTCGTAACATGATTCTTGAGTATGAGATGTACTACAAGGATGAGAAGGGTCAGCGAATACCAAATCTTTACAAGTTCAATGTCCTTATTACTACTTTTGAAGTTATTATATCAGATTGCCTTGAGCTGAAAGAGATTCACTGGCGTTGCTGTATCATTGATGAGGCACACAGACTGAAAAACAGGGTTAGTATACATCTGTCGCATAACATGGGTATTATGAAATCTACCATTTTCACCATTTCTGAAAACTGGAGTTGGATCTGTATGTTGTTTTGACTTTTTTGATATAGCTTAATTGTATATAATAATTTTATTTGCCCCATCTCTGCAGAATTGTAAGCTGTTAGAAGGTCTACGACTTATGCACATGGAGCATAGAGTGCTGCTCTCAGGAACACCATTGCAGAACAATGTAACAGAATTGTTCTCTCTACTCAACTTCTTGGAACCAACTCAGTTTGCCTCGCAAGAAACGTTCCTACAAGATTTTGGGAAGCTGGAATCTGAAGACCAAGTGAAGAAGCTGCAAGCACTCCTCAAACCTATGATGTTGAGAAGAATGAAAGAAGATGTAGAGAAAAGTCTTGCACCAAAGGAAGAAACAATTATTGAAGTAAGTAGTTATCGTGCTTAATAATGATGAAAAGCTTTCTCATTTTACTGTTGTAATAATTGATGTTTTGTGGTCATTATAGAAAATTTTTTGAAGCGCATCTTTTTTTTTGCAGGGAATACATAACTAAATAGTAATTGAATCTCTTTTACAGGTTGAATTGACAAATATACAGAAGAAGTATTATAGAGCTATTCTTGAGAGGAATTTTGATTTCCTTGTGAAAGGTGCAACTTACGCTAATGTACCAAGTCTGATGAATACTATGATGGAGCTGCGTAAATGTTGCCTCCACCCATATCTCCTCAATGGTAATCAGTGATCAGTAATTTTGTTTAGTTAGCATATACAGTGTGTATTTAGTTTTACAATGTAATGATTTGGTAAATAAATCAATGTTTACAGTTTTCAGTATCTCATAGGTTCATGGTCTGTTAGTTGTAGACATTTATGGAATTACCACTTTTTAGGTATATGTTAACCTCTTTTTGCTTATCCCTCCAAAAGGCGCAGAGGAAGCCATTCAGCAGGATTATCGTGACTCCCATCCAAACCATCAGCAGGAACAAGACACATACCACAATGCACTTATTCAGTCCTCTGGCAAAATGGTATTAACAGATAAGTTGCTGCCCAAGCTGAGAGAAAATGGCCACCGAGTCCTTATTTTCTCTCAAATGGTCAAGCTGCTGGATATTCTTGAAGACTACCTCATATTTAGAAAGTGAGTTAAATATCTGCCTATGTCATTGCTAATTTTTAGTTACTATCTTCTGTATGTATGGTTGTACTTACAAATGTGGTACAGTTTTGAACCTATATTTATGAGAAAAACTATTACTTTGTTTACAGGTATCCATATGAAAGATTAGATGGTCGGATCCGTGGCAACTTGCGTCAAGCTGCCATTGACCGTTTTTGCAAGCCAGACTCTGATAGATTTGTGTTCCTGCTGTGTACCAAAGCTGGAGGTCTAGGTATCAACCTGACCGCTGCCGATACTGTGATAATTTATGACAGTGATTGGAACCCTCAGAATGACCTGCAAGCCCAGGCAAGGTGCCACAGGATTGGGCAGTCAAAGAGTGTCAAGATTTATCGTCTGTTATGTCGAAACACATATGAACGAGAGATGTTTGATAAAGCATCTCGAAAATTAGGTCTTGACAAAGCTGTTTTGCAGTCAATGAATAGTGAACAAGGAAAGGCAGCAGCAGGAGGCAACTCCATGGGCCTTTCTAAGAAGGACATTGAAGAACTCTTGAAGAAAGGTGAGCCAAATCAGAAGCATGAGATTGTAAACTTTGCTAATCAATTTTCTTTTGCTTTTCTTTTGCTTTCATATTGATTGAAGATGATATTTAAAGTGAGATATCTTTATAGGTGCCTATGGAGCTTTGATGGAAGAAGATGATGGGGCTGATGATTTTTGCGAAGAGGACATTGATCACATTCTCTCCAGAAGAACAACAGTTATTCAGCATGAGAGTGAGAAAGGATCCTCATTCTCCAAAGCTTCATTTTCTGCATCATCTAACCGCTCAGATATTGAATTGGATGATCCTGATTTCTGGAAGAAGTGGGCAAAGAAAGCAGAGATTGATACAGATTTAGGGGATAAATTGAGAAAGGTATTGTGGTGTGTTCATTATCATCTATTAACTCACTTGCAACTGATGACTTGCCATGCTAATACCGAGGGATTCAGCTGCTGTTAGCTGAAGACCACTGAGTTAAAAATGCAAAAACTGATAATCAAAATTATTTGTTAATAGATCATCTATGTAGAGCCCTTGTTTATATTACTTTCTCCCTTTTCAGAAAAACTTGATAGTGGAAGAACCAAGGCGTAGGTCCCAAATCCGTCGATATGGTCATGATGAATCTGTACTGGACTGCAGTGATCTTGAATCTTCTGCAAGTGACTCAGCTGCAGAGAAGGATAATGAACCAGAGATGATTCCAGAGCTACTCAAAGGACGTGGCCGTGGCCGTGGAAGAGGTCGTGGCAATAGGGGTAGAGGAGGAAGAGGGAACAGATCAACAAGAGCCTCAAGATGGGTGTTTGATGAAGAGGCAGCTGAATCAGATGTTGTTGTCTATGGCCAGTGGCTACGTTCTGAGTGCTTCAAGGTGGAGAAGGGGTTATTGATGTATGGATGGGGAAGATGGAAAGAGATTCTTATTCACGGAGATTTCCGTCCAGCGTGGAAGGAAACTGATGTGATGGATTGTGCACGCATGATCCTACTCTTCTGTATTCGTTATTACCGGGGGGATGATAAAATCAAGGGCTTTATTTTTGATTTGATTGCCCCAACTTCAGATGGTAAAACTCGTGTCCACCATAATCACATTGGCCTCTCTGCCCCTGTCCCACGTGGCCGCAAAGGTAAAAAAAAGATCAGGGAAGCAAAGATGGTGGCCACACACATGGAAGGAGCTGATTGGGCCAAGGAAGAGAAGTTTGATACAGATGTGTACTTAGATCAAGGTTACTCAAGACACCTTACTCGTCACTCCAACAAGGTGTTGTTGAGGGTACGCCTTCTCTTCTACATAAAGCAAGAAATCATTGGTGATTTTGCAAAGCAGGTTAGTAGTTTGTGATTTTTTTTACATAAGTAATTTTGAAATTCCTAGAACATTTATAGACTAAAGATATAAAAGAACAAAGTTATTTCTTGTCCTACACTGCTTACAATTTTGTTGCCCTAAGGTCTACTTTTTCCAGATCTAATGAACTATTCTCCATATAGATGCATTTAAATTCATTTGAAAAAAATAACATTGTTAAGGAAGAGGGATTGAATTTTTTGGCAAGATTAAAGTATTTGTCATTTTTTTCCTTTTCTAACCACACAGATTGACGACGGATGCAAGGCGGAAGAGCTGAATATTACCCCTCCCCCTACAGAATTGCCACCTAAACCTTGGTGGGATCTGGAGGCAGACCGATCACTACTTGTGGGTGTATATAAACACGGGTATGAGCGCTATAACGTAATGAGGAACGACCCTTGTCTCTGCTTTCTTGGTCGCTGCGGTCCTCCTGATAAAACAGCACTTATGGCAGAAATGAACACAACTATGTAAGTTCTTTGAGGGATATTAAATCTTTTTCTAATTCTGTTATATTTTCACACACACACACACACATACACATATTAGTATTTATATATCTGTCTGTCCATATGCATACACACATTTGATCAATTTGTAGTATACTTTTAAAGTTTTGAGCTTCCCTTCAGAAAGTGTCACAGTACATACCATGTTGATTGTTTATGGTGGAACTTTGTACCGTGGTAACCTGGTTTTAAGGTAATACTTTTAACCCATTCGTCCCGGATTAATGTTCTGTCCCCGGTAGTTTTTGGTGAATTTTTGTTATGTACAGATGGCTCCACATGTGCTCAGCCAGCAAGGAATATATTAGTAGACCCTAGTTACCGATCCTGATTATCCCATTCCTTGAATTGGCAGGAAAATGTGTTCTTATTAATACCATTGCTATCAATACTGTTATTATTGTTATTGATGATGTGATTATTAACCCATTGCCGCCGGGGAAAATGAACAAAAAATGGGGGAAATGCTGTGCCTATTTCCTATACTTTTTTGTTAAATGTCTGCCCATAGATGGCTCTGTTAGCGCCGATTTGAAATGGCAGGAAAAAACGTATTTTTCACTAGTGCCATGAATATCGATGGTGTTATTTTTATCATAAACATTATAATTTTTATAATGTTTTTAACATTAATAACAGCAAAACAAGATTACATAAAATATTTCGTAAATCAAAGAAAAGGGTGAACGGGCGAGACAGGCGGTACTCGTAGCTGGCTCATTGGTGATTTAGTACAAGTGTAGCCATCTATGTGTGAAAACAATCTAACAAGTAATCTCACAGTGGCCATGGCATGGCATGCCCGGCGGAAATGGGTTAAATTGTCATTAAAAATTTTAGACAATGAAATGATACAAAAGACCCTTTCCTAACGTAAAGGAAAAGGGTAAACAGGTGAGGTAGGTAGTTCTGATAACTGGTTAGTTGGTGATTAAGAACTTGTAGAGCCATCTATGTGTAAATACAATAAATATATATATATATGCAATGGAAAAATGAAAGGAACAATCTAAACAAGACAATTCAAACTAATGCCTCATCAGAATGTATTTAAAATCAAAACATCTGATAAGGAACTTGCCAAGTTTTTTAATATCACATTTATTTAATGTAACAATGTGAAAATGTCTACATTGAGTGAGTTACAAGTTAATGTAATACATAACATTTACCAATAGTGTACTACTTGAAAACAGGAATACCACAAGAAGGATGGTATTGTGTTTCATAAAGTAGGCCTTCATTGCCCATTTATTCATTGCAGAAATGAGGATGACTTGGATAAGGAAGACAAGGATGATGACAAAGATGACGAGGACTCCAACCAGACTCCTCTGCCATCAAGCCCTGCTGTTTCAACCTCTACCTCTAAGTCTGATGATGACAAATGTGATGAAAAAGATGAGAAGACGACCGGAGAAAAGAAATTGTTAAATTTCCCGTCCACATCTGATCTCAATGGTCGCCTTCGAAGACTTGTGACAACTTGTCAACGGAACAATCGCAAAAACGATATGAGAAATGAGGCCAAGGTCAGGGTGAGTTGGGATTTTTATTTTAGTTTTGGTTTTATTATTTGACTTACTTTATTTTCCTTGGTTTTTTTACTGATATTATTTTTAGCTTTTAATTTGTTCAACTTTTGCACTTTTAGATATTATCCTTCTCTCTTCCCACCAATCCATTCCTGTTTTCCTTTAGTTATTGGAAGTATTCATTAGTATGTGTGTACATGTGTGTGTGAGATTTTATAAAATATATGTATATATATATGTATATATAATTTATATACTATACATATATACATATATATAAATGTGTGTGTGTGTGTGTATATATAATTATAAATTATAAAAGAGAATGATCTATATTAGTATTGTTACTGTTATATGTTTGTTATAGAAAAGCAAAATTCATTGTTGAAGTGTGATCAACATTTTGCTGAAAATTGTGTTCCTTCCATTTCAAGGGTTATGACCACTACTTAGCTGATAAACTCATGAGGAGAGAGCGCATGGCAGAATACATTCGGGAACGAGAGCTGCGCAAAACAGACTACAACCAAAGACGGTGGTCAAATAGAGAGCAGGCAGAGTTCTACCGCACCATTTCTACATTTGGTGTGGAATATATCAGGTAACTACTTTCATATGCATAGGCTTGGACATTCATGTATAGGTGTGATGTTTTACAAAATTGATGAGTTTTATTATTTTATGACTCTGAGACATTCTTGCTATTAGGGCTGACAAGTTTCTTTCCCACACAGAAAAGAAAAGAGGTACGATTGGTCCAAGTTCCGTATGCTGTCACGTCTGGAGAAGAAATACGATGAAACACTCACTGAGTACTTCCGAGCATTTATGGCCATGTGTAAGAGGCAGTGTGGGATTCGATTATCAGAGGAAGAGAATGAGAGTAAGTATGCCCATGGTTGAGCATTGCTTCACAATTTCACTAATGCTTATAATCAGTTACTTAACCCATTACTGCCGGGTCACACCTATAGCTGTCATAACAAACCACTTGATCTGCCGGGTACAGCCATACATGTGTTGCGTTGAGTGGCAAGTTCCACTGCATGTAGCAGATTCCTGCACCAAATGGCAGGATGGTTGCCAGAAATCACCCGAGTCAGTGACACCAAGAGATTTCTAGTACCCTCTTTGAGGGGATAAATTTCCATAATTGCCTTTTGTAGTACGTATAATCCCCTTGATTTATAGTCTGAAAAAGTAAATGGATTCCCTATTAATTCCATCCATTCTTGCAGAACTTTTAGAAGTTGGTGTTGATAGATTACCAGAGGAGCGTGCCCGAAGAGTTCTAGAGCGAGTAGATCTCCTCAATCGCCTTCGCAATGATGTTCTGCCCCATCCAGCTCTGAAGGATGCATTAGAGCTTGCCTTACCTTCTAAGGATATGCCTGACTGGTGGATTCCTGGAAAGCATGACCATGACCTTCTGAAGGGTGTCAGCAGGTAAAATAGTTTATTGCACCAGTAGATTTATATTGCTTTTTCCAATTCCACATCGCTTGAAAGGAAATATTCTTTGAAACTGATTTATGCTGGAACCTATGTTACAATTCATTATAAAGTCATGAAAATAATTGCTTACCGTTTTCCTTTTCCAATGTTTTTTTAACAGACATGGTTTGGGTCGCACTGATTACTACATCTTGTACGACCCTGACTTGAACTTCCGCGACATTATCCGGCGCCACACTGCTGGAGAACCCCTTATCACAAAGGAGGAAAAAGAGGCATTGCACAAAAAATATTACAAGAAAAAAGGAAAGGAGGGTGAAAAGGGAAAAGAAAAGAAGCAGGAGAAGGAGGAGACAAAGAAGGAGACAAAGAAGGAGGAGGTAAAGAAGAAAGAGGAAGAGGAGAAACAGAAGGAGGATGGGGATGAGGAAAAGAAGGAAAATGTAGAAAAAGAAAAGGAAGTAGAGGAGAAGGCAAAGGAAGAAGAAGAAGAGGAGATGGAAGTAGAAGAAAAGGAAGAGGATACACAGGACATGGAGGAAGAAGCAAAGGAGGAGGAGGAGGATGGAGAGAATGACATAGAGAAGCCACCTGCAGAAGCCTCAGAAAATGAAAAAGAAGCTGAGAAAGAGGATTCATCCAGTAAAGATTTAGATACTGAGAAAGAGGCAGAAGAGGCAAGTGTAGAGTCAAAAGAAGAAAATAAAATTAATGCAGAAAATGAAAAGGAGGACAGTGATGGTGTCAAGAATGATAGCTCAGAAGATACCAAAGAAGCAAGTAATTCTCCAAAAGCAGAAGTTGAAGATGCAAAAGTCAAACAGGAAATCAAAGAGGAGATGGTGGATGAAGAATCCATTAAAAAAGAGGTAAAAGAAGAGGGAGATGATGAAGCAAAGGAAGATAAGAAAGAGGTTGTTGTTAAGACAGAAGTTAAAGTAGAAGCTAAAGAAGAATCCAAAGAAGATGAAAGTATAGTCAAAGAAGAAGAAGAAAAAATGGAGACGGACGAGAGCTCCAAAGTAGATGAGAGTGAAGCAGTTGATGAAGAGATGAAGGAAAGCAGTAATGATGAAACCAAAGAAAGCAATGATGCACATCAGGAGAAGAAAGGAGAGGAAAAGGCAAAAGAAGAAGGAAAAGAGGAGATCAAGATAATATCAGAGACTAAAGATGAGAAGCAAGATGGTGAGAAGAAAGAGAAAGGTAAATCCAAATCTGCTCTCCTAAGTCTTCAGCAGATGGATGAAGCAATGGCCAAGTATGGGAACAATCTAACATATGACAACCTAGTTTCCAGTGAGCCCACAGTAGCACAGCTGCTAGCTCAGTCTGCTGCTAATCCTATAAAGTGGCCTAAAGACAGGATACTTCAGACTAGAATTGAACATCTAATGTATGCTGTGGAGCACCGTAAATGGCCAGTTGGCATTGACTTCCAAAGTAGTGACCAAGAAGTTAAAGCATCAAGTTCCCTCCCTCAGTCTACCAGCAGTGCCTCTTCACATTCATCAGGTGCATCAGATATGATAGATGCAGAACGCCGCAAGAGATTGCAGCTTGAAGCTGCAGAAGCTGAACGGCAGCGTCTCCAAGCATTGATACATCCCAACCTCCACCACACATTAGGTTTATCTAAAAGCTCCTCTGGTGCTGCTGCTGCTGCTGCAGCTGCTGCATTAGGCCTTCCATCCTTTACTAGTGCCAACCTTAGGTCATTCATGGAATCATCTGAGGATAGAGGAAAGAAGAGTCAACAACTAGTAACAGATTCACATGCATTGCGGCAACTCCAGGCACTACAGGGAACATTGGATCTAACAATAAAGCCTGTAAATCCAGGTCAAAATGCCTTGGATTTGGCGTCTAGCCTCTTACCTCGCCGTGGCCCTGGTCGACCTAGACTGGATGATCCATTGAGGTCTGTGGAAAAAAGACGACTTGGTGAATCACCTGGAGATTCACGATCTCAGGAAAAGAAACGCAGAAAATTAGATGAAATAGTTTTAGGACTTACATCTAAGGGAAAGAGTCCAGAGATGACTTGTACAACCACGAAGGATACCAGTCCCCTTTCCCTCCTTCGTGGATCCTC